AGTATTACAGGAAATGTTGGAGGGACTTCTTTAAGAAGAAAAAACATGTACCAAAAACAGTAATAAGGAATGGTAACAACTACATTCTTATCAATAAGTACCTTAAATGGAAAAGAATTAAGTGTTCTTACCAAAAGATAGAGTGGCTGAAAGGATAAGAAAACAAGACCCCTACATATGTAAAGGAAGGGGATGAGAAAAGATATTGTTGTGATGGACCCAGAAGGTATTTAAGTCAGAGAACAATAAACACTATATGATTTCACTTATATGCAGAATCTAAGGAATAAAAAGAACAAACTGATCAAAAACAGACTCACAAATATAGTGGACAATTTGGAGACGGACGGAGGAGAGGGGAGGTTGCAGGGCTGGGAGAATGAGATGAAGGGTTAAAGAAGCACAAATTAATAGCTGATGGAAGGGCACAAGGATGGGGAGCACGACATAGGGAATACAGTTTGCATTAATACGTTGGCTAGGTGGAGGGTCAGGGGAGGGAGGGAGCAATTGGCGAGATTGTATACTTAAAACGAATTAAAATAAATAAATTCGAAAAATAGAAAATGAAAAGTAAAGAATTACTTGTCCCCAAAGTTCTCAGAAGTCATTCATTCATTTGTTCATTAGCTCAGTCATTCAACAAATACTTATTAGGCATCTACTGACTATGTGCCAGGATTCATGATGGATAGCGCTGAAGATACAAAAGTGGACCAAAAAAGACAGTCTTTGGTGAGAAACAAATCTTAATAAAATAATTACTCAAATTTAATATTGAAATTGTGACAAGTGCTCTAAAAAAAGAAGCAGTTGTTCCTAGAATGGGTGAAAGTTAAACAGGCCAGAGGGATGGAAGAAAGTTTCAGGAAGAGGAAAGAGCATGTACAAAGCACCTATGGAGAAGGAGCCTTCTAAGGGCAAAGGTCTGAGAAAATACAGATGTGTTTGTGTGTGGCATGTTTAGAAGCCAGAGCAAAAGAGCCAGCCAGAGAGAATGCTAGGAAGCGAAGAAGAAAACAAGAGATGTTGCTGTCAAAGAAGCCAAAAGCAAGTACGTTCGAGACTAGATGATCTCACAGAACAACGAATTTCTTCCCTCTAGGTCCATTTAAGGAGCAGGTAACATTTTATAATCCATGAATAGATATTAACACATGATTTTTATATTGGTAGTTTTCCATCCTTGCAGAATGCTGTTTATATTTGATTTTCCACTTAACTTGAGATTAATCTCTTTTCTTTTAAGGAGTCAGCATGATGTAAATCTCAGCTAGAGAATTCTTGTCCTACTCATTTTTTAAATACTTCCTTAGGTGCTTCCCTTGAGCAAGTGCCCTTTCTATCTTGTTCACCACAGCATTCCCAGTGATGAGGCCAAAGCCTGAGACATAATAGGTGCTCATTAATTACTTGTCAAATTAATTCGTAAAGCAAAGAAATGAATGTTTTGTAGTTTTAAGGACATATTCACTTATAGAACTCCTGGGGGACATATTTTAATGGCATCTATTAAAGGCAGACCATTGTGAACAATCTCGGATCCTGTTCTACATAATTGCCTAAGAATTCATTCATTGGTTTGTTTTTATTGACGGTCTATTAAGTAAAAAGTAATATACTAAGAATTGATTTATAGTTTATTGTACATTCTATCCCTTATGTATTTCAAAAGTACATTTTGAAAAGTACTGGAAATTGATTTTGATTAGTGTGCTATGTTTTACTGAGGTCAACTTTGAAAAGTGAATTTCAAAGAAATATGGACAGCATTTAAAAATATTTTATTTATTGGACAAGGCAACAATTAAAAAAAATTTTTCTTCCACTATAATAAGATTCTTCTTGAAAAATTAGTCCAAGCTTTCATAAAGTACACAACTAGCATAAACTGTAACATCTCATCTTAGTGTTGTATAGTTCACCCATTTGTGTCAGACAAGGCCTGGGGGGTTGTTTTGAGGGGACAGGGGTTGAAGGATTTAGAGGCGGTAAGTGAATTAACGCTGGGACTTAGTCCTAGAACAGGATCTGAGAAAAAGTACTGGAAGATCAGTACTGGAAGATCAGAACTAGGATGCTGTCATAGGGATGAGGTTGGGGTGGGATATGAATGGTTTTAGAGATATGACTGGAAAGAGGGTTTGTTACCCATACAGAGTAACACTTAGGGAGCAGTTAGAATATTCCAGACTTTATTCTGCATATCTTTCCTGCATCACATCACTTAATCTGGCAACAATTCTGAGAGGTAAGTAATTGTGCTCATTTTATTGTGGTTATCAGATGTTTTCCTCTCTACTCTCACCCGTAAAATAACTAGACCATTTCCGTTAATCTTGTTTATTTTACTTGAGGTTTCTGTTTCCTTTGTTTTTGGGTTCCGATCTTTGTCATACATCATTCGAAGAGAAATTCACCTTAAAGATCACATGTCCACATAGACTCTCCTCCCCAGTAGTCGGAAGACTGGTGGGAATCATGAAATACAGGGAGAGTTGTCTTTATGTACACATCAGTGAGTGAAGGAGTTTTTTTTTGTTGCCATTACTATCTTTAGTTTCTGAAATTAGAAGATTGTGAAGCTAGGCTGCATAAATGTGCCCCCAAGGCCTTCTGTTGCTGTTTGTTCTCTTTAAGGACAGTTCTGGTTCTAACTTTCTATCAGAAATGAACACCGATTTCCAGCCAATTTTCTCAAAATATCAACCACAAGAAGCCTAACTAGTTTAATTTTAAATGAGAACGTGACCACAGATAGCATCCAGTATCACTTTATTATCTTACTTAACAAATGGGAATGCTGAGGCCTGAGAGGTTACTTGAGCAACCCAAGAAATAGAGAGAGTTACTCCTGACTTTTGATCCAGTGTACCCTTGACAAGAACACAATGGAAAATCTTTGCTGAAGTCAGCTGAATCATCTTCACAGACAAAAGATATTCCTTAGGAAAAAAAAAGTTCTCTACTCACATTTCATTGTCTCTTCAAATTTTTACCTCTTTAAAAATTGTCTTGTAGAGGAATCCATATCAGTGATCATCTAGTCTCAACACATTAAATAAATTGGGCCACTTGTTTAGAGTAAGTAGATTATATTTCATTCCTTTGTTTAAAGCAGGGATCCCACCCCCTGCCGCTGATGGGTACTAGTTAGTGGCCTGTTAGGAACCAGGCCGCACAGCGGGAGGTGAGCAGGGACCCGGCTAGCTAGACTTCATCTCTATTTGCAGCAGCTCCCCAACACTAGCATCATCACCTCAGCTCCACTTCAGATCATCAGGAGTTAGATTCTCATAGGAGCACTGGTGCCTGGTGCCAAAAAGATTGGGGACTGCTGGTTTAAAAGTTTCATGATGAAACAACAGCAACAAAAATCACCATTTTTATATCCTCAATCAGTTACCTAATGTGAAAGATGGAAATAAATATCTATGATGAATTCTTTTCTAAATGTTCTTCCACCCTTTTTTGGAATGAGGAAAACATGAGCCACCCTTAAGGCATAAATGATTAAAGGGTAGACTATCCTTTGTCAAAGACTATGATGATAGCCTGAGTAAATTTCTAGAACTTGAAAAAATTAGCTTGCTTCTCTATCCTTAGGAAAGCTTCATGCTAGTCATGATGTCATCATTTAGGAATGAGATGTATTCATGAAATCGTTGCTGAAAAAATGTGAGGGTTAAAAAATATGGCAACAGAGGTTGTCAACTATAGTCTCAGGCTGACAACCCAGCCTTATTCTATTAACAAAAGTTCAATGATAAATTTTATGGATATGAAGACAAGGAAAAGCTCATTATGTGTGGCATTCACTAATAAAATAGAGCACGGGACTAATACGCAGAATGTAAAACATATACTGTTTGACATTACTTATGAATATAAGTATATGCTCAGTATGATAATAATTTTGGCTCTGTGTCTAATGGTATTAGGATGGTACATGTTTTTAAGAACTGAAATGGTCTGAGTGCCATGGTTGGCTTTGCAAACAGGTTTCTCCGAACATCCTTGAGGAGACAAACCAAATGAAATGGAACAGACAAGTTTTTCCTTTGTGGTCAGAGTTTTTTGGTTTAAGCCAGTAATTGAAAAGAAGTATAGAAGGATGAGTCAGAATACCCTGTCATTGCTTTCTGACGAGCTGAAAGTGTACCGCTTTTATGTTTTAATCTTATAGCTTAAGTGCTGCAATAATTCATCCAATTTAAATACACTTCAATTGAAATGTAAACTTTATCCCATTTTTTTTTTCTCTCACCACAAACTCTGGTTTTGGTGGTAGTAAAGGAAAAGAGAAATCTCCACTAAATGTCCAGAAGTCCAATTTAAGAGATAAGTTATAAGAAGGCCAGTAGTCGGTTTTAACTGTGACAAGGTATGATCTTAGAGAAGATCGGTAAGCCCACATTTAGCCTATGTCTAGGACCTCAAGCAATACATTTTCTGTAGTAATGCACCCTTGATTTTGTTATTTTCTTGTAGCTTGAAGATATATATATATATATATATATACTATATATAATATATTTACCTATAAAATATTTTCTCGTAGCCTGGATTTTTATAATTGTCTTTAACATATGATAATTTTCTTATATCATTGTCTTTAATGTATAATTGTCTTTAACATATGGTAATTTTCTTGTATCATTGTTATATTGACCATGAAATTTCTTTAAAAAAAAAAAACCCCAACACCCAAGACCTCAACGAAAGGTCCCGTCAGAACTTCACTTGAAAACCACGTCAGAAATGCACTTGAACGTCTGCAGTAAATTTACTCCGGCAAAATTTGTAAAAGTTTCCCTGAAGTCAACCCTCTAACAGGTGAGCCTTAAGCAGCTGCGACATAAATCAGACCTCTCCAGCTGACAGGCGGTCTTTGCAGGTCTGTTGCTGACCCCAGGGGAAGGTAAGCTGCGGTCCGAGAAGGCAGAGCTCGGGGCGGAGCCTAAGCCAGGAGCGCGCTCGGACACGCGCCCTTTCCCGTGGCCCGCGCGCTCTGGGAGTCTTTGTAGAGTCAGGGTTTCTGCTGGGCAGGGCCAGCTGCAAATCCTCCAGGCGGACACCGGGGCGGGGGACAGATGGGGCATATAGGTGGCGTCCGCTGGTGAGAAACACCTAGCTCAGGCAAAAGGGTGGCGACGAGAGGGAGTTTCCACCTGTTGCGCTCTTAAAGAAATGAAGACTTAAGAAAATACTAAGGAGGGGCAGATTGGTGTCTTTCGGACGCGCCTGGAGCCCCACCCTCCTCCAGAGGAAAAGCCCCTTGAGTGAGAGGCAGAAGCTTCAGAGAAATCGAGAAGAGCGACTCTCTCCGCGCTCCACCTGCTCCGCCTCGCACTTCTGCGGAGCAGCCAACCCAGCCAGCGCCGGGGCCGTGGCCCTTCGCCCCTCCGAGCCCTTCTACTCCGGCCTCCGGGTGCCTGGGCGGGCGACCTGTCGCGAGTCCTCCTATGGCGGCGGCCCCAGCCACACGTTGCTGGAGCGGAGCCCTCTGCTGGCAGCTCCTGCTGACCCTCACGGTGAGTGGCTCTCCCGGCCACTGGCTCTCGGGAGGGGGCTCCGATTGCTTGGGGGACAATAGGGGACACTTTGGGAGCAGGGGTGGGTGGGAGAGACGGGCCAAATGGGTGTTAATGGGCCTCGCGCTGGCTAGAGAACGGAGTCGTTCGGGTCGGGGAGAGAAGACAGAGGGTGGTGACCTGGGCGCCACGATCCCGAAGAATAGGGTGTCTCCGGTAGATATAATCAGCACAGGCAGGTAGAGGAGGCATGAGGCGCAAACGCCCATCCGAAAGCTTAGCCTCTGGGTACCAGCGGGAAGCGCAGTGCTGCTTGGAACCTCCTGCACTCCCCAGAAAGGTGCGGTCCGCTTCTACCTCGCTGCCTGTTCAGGCCACGGAAAAGCGGAGCTTCTCGGCGGACGCTGCTCGAAGCGCAGTCCTTGGGTGAAAGAGGACTACGCTCCTTCAAGGGGGATTGCTCTGTCGCGCCTCAGTGGTCTCGATCCTCTGCTCCTAAACATCGTAGATGGGCGGGCCGCAGGTGAACCTTTATATAATTCCCAATTTTCGTCGGCATTACCCTCTCTTTAATTTTGGAGAAAATGGTCATTGTCATCTCTTCCCCCTGGAGGCATTTGGATTCTTCTGGCCCTTGCCCTCCCGCTTCCTTCCCACTTGAAAAAACACGATAACCAATAGCAAAGACCCTACCCACCCAGAGCTGGGAGCGGAAGCGGGTGGCGTTATTTGGGGCGGGACAACCTTCCTTCCAGGCAGAAAAGATTGGGATCTCATTGGGTGACTGGAAGACACAGGATCCAGTGCAAGGGAGCAACCATTGGGAGAGTTTGCGATCAAAGTTTCCACAGACCGGGCTTCCTCGGTCCCCTAGAAGGAGTTAAATAGACCGGATGCGAGAGAGTGCTCGAGTCAGCGATGGCCTTTCACGTTGACCCTCAGGCGTTGTGGCTCCAGTTAAACCTGAAGGACTAGGGGATGAACGGCCAGACAGAGGGAAGACTTCTGGGAGTGGTGGAACTGGGGGACTGAAACATTCGGATAATTCCCCCTTCTTTACTGCTCTCATTTTACACCGAATTCCTTAAAATTCTACGTAACGAAATTGTAGTTGTTATTATTACAGTGTCTTTTCCAAGGAACTCCATGGACTTGAAAACCTTAACTAAATTCCCTGGACACATTAATACCCGAAAAGGCCAGGCGCACAGCAGTTAACATTTTCAGTTGAGGAAACCAAGAATGGAATAAATGAGTCACAAAATGTATAGTTGATGACGAATGAATTTCGGTTACATTCTTAATAAAGTTGCCACCTCTTTTTACTCCATTGGTTAATTGTTCTTTGAAGGAAAAGTGGTGGGAACAATAAATAGCATTGCTTTGTATATACTTAGACACAGACTTTCTTTTTAGAAGAAACCAGGTGTAAGTGAATAAATAAGTTGAATAATTCCCATTCTGTGTCCTTCATTGGCTTCAAAGCAGGATAGACCAGAAGTGGGGTGGAGACAAAAGAGCCCGGGCTCTGGTTGCACCTCTCCTTCTCCACTCAAGCTGGAAGGCTTGGTGTGAGACTCTCAAGTTGTTCTGATGCTGGTGTGGTGGGCGCATCTCTGCAGATCCCTGCCAGCCTCAGGCAATTGTGGTTGTGAGCCTCAAATGTGATAGATGTGAAGAGACTATTTGAGTGAAAGGTATTATTAAATAAGGATGACTTCTGGGCACACCCTTGACATTTCCTGCTTCCCATACAACCCCAAAACCCTTCACCATTTCCTAATATTGCCTCACTTCATACATATCTTCATCACTTTTAACTCTGGCTTCTGTCTAAACACCTAATGAAGCTTCCCTTTCTATGGTCATCAGGCATTTTAATTGCTAAATCCAAATCATTCCTTATACAATTCCACCTTGTAGATTGCACCATGATTCTTGAAATTCACTCCTTTTTTCTTTGAACATTCCCGACCACTCAATTGTATTCTCTATTCTAGGTCCTATCTCTAAAATATTATACAGGTGACTCCATAAACTAAATTTATTTTGCAGGTTCAGATATCTTCATTGAACAGTAAGCCTCTGTATCTCTACTTACCATGCGTGATGTGTGACATAGCATTTATTATCTTCTCAAACAATATTGCTTTTCTTCTAGTGTCCTATATTTCAATAAATGACACTACAATGCACATCATTTCTTAAGTAAAAACTCTAGAAGCTGTTTGTTTTTAATTCCTCACTGTTCTCCTTCCCTATTCCATCATCAAGTCCCATTAAATCTACATGCAAGAATATCTCAAATTTCTTCTATCCCTTACCTCTGCTATTACTTTTAGCTATTACAAATAATGTCACAATGTATAAACTTGCATATATGTTATTTCATATATGCATAGGTGTATCAATAGAATAGATTACCAGAAATGGGATTGCCAGATAAAAGTATATGTAGTAGATGTTACGAATTCCCTTTCCCCTCCATAAAGGTTGTATATGACTAGACAGAAAGCTATTTTATGATTGTTGGCATATCACATTGTTGAGGATATGTATATATACACACATATATTTACACACATTTATATCATTCTGTATTATATATATGTGTGCATGTATATATGTATATATATGCGCACGCACACCCACACACATATATAGTCTCATACTATATATCATATACATAAATAGCATTGCTTTGTATATACTTAGACACAGAACTTTCTTTTTAGAAGAAACCAGGTGTAAGTGAATAAATAAATTGAATAATTCCCATTATCATATACATATGGTATATAGTATGAGACTATAGTACTTGATCTAAGCAGCCATTTAGCAAAACATAAAGTTGAATCCATACTTCATGCAGAACGCCACAGGAAATTCCAAACAGATGAAAGATTTAAATATAACATATAGTACCATGCAGATAATAGAAGAAAACATGATAAATTTCTATTTAATTTCGAGTCAAAGAAGTCAATTTAGCGCTCAGATTTCAAAAGTCATTTGTTAAAATTGAGAAAATCAATTATATTAAAACACATACGCAACACTTGTCCTTTGCAAAAAACTAAACTAAACCAAGCAAAACATCATAAGCAAAGTTAAAGGTAACTGATAAAGTAGAAAAAAATATTTGCAGATCATGTTTAAAAGGCTCTTATGTAAGAGCTCTATGTAAAGAAGTCAAGAAGTCTAAATATAAATCAAGAAGTCTAACATGAACACGGATATGAAAATTTCCCATAAAATAACAAAAATGGCTGATAAAAATATCTCAACATCATTCATAATAAGAAAAATTAATTTAAAAATACATTGAAATGCCATTTCTTATTTGTTAAACATCCAAAAGTTTAACAACATGCTGTGTAGGCAAGAATGTAAAGCAATAGAAACTCTTATAAGTTGTTGGTGAGTGTAACAAAAAGTTACAACCTTTGTGGACAGCATACAGTTATATCAGATGCAAATAGAAACAGTTTTACTTCTTCCTTTCCAATTTGTATGAATCTAATATCTTTCAGTTTTTCATACGCCAATATTGCATTGTTTTAATTATTGAGACTTCACAGGATCTTTTAATATGTACTAGGGCTAATATGCTTTCATTGCTTTTCTTTTTCATAATTTTCTTGTCTACTCTTATTTATTTTTCCTTATGACCTTGTAAATCAGCTTGTTTAGTTCCAGAAAAAAACATTGGTGGGATTTATATCAGATCATAAAATGAGAATATATTTACGTTGTTGAATTTTCCTTCAAAATAATGGTGTATTTTTCTTTTTGTGCAAGTCTGCTTTTGTGTCCTTCAGAAATGTTTTCATGTTTTTCTTAAATAGATTTTATATGTTTCTTGTTAAGTTTACTCCTTGGAATTCTAACTATTTATTGCTTTTGAAAATGATTTTTTCCATTATGTTACTTAACTGGTTTTATTTATGTGTATGAAGACTAATGATTTCTGTATTTTAATAGTCATTGCTACTCCTTTACTGTAATTCTCATTGTTTTACAGTAATTTATTAGTTGATTTGCTTGGGTTTTCCAGGTAAATAGTCATATCAAATGCAAATAGAGATTTTTCTTTACCTCTTCCTTTTCAACTTATATGCTATCTAATGCTTTCCTCTTGCCTTATACACTTTAATGTAATGTTAACTACAAATAATGACCTTACAAAGCCTGTGAGTTTACCACTAGTGCTTTCCCACTGATGTTGTGATTATAATATAATATAAAAACCATATTGAAGAAGTGTCACTGGGCAGTTGACCAGGATCTCGTGAACGTCAGGAGAAAGAATTCACGGACAGTTAAGCAATAGCTCAAGTTTATTGAAAGCAAAAGTACACTCAGATGGGAGTGCCGGCAAGCTCGAGAGGGAGCTGAGCCATTTCTCTCGTGGGGTAGAGACTTTATCTACTGATTTAACTAGGGTGGAACATTTGCGATTTTGGGCGGTTTTTCTGGGGAAAGGGAATGACTTTTCTTGGAACTTGAGAGACACCCCTGTTCTTGCAGTTTCTGGCCCTTTCAGAGCTGTCATGACATCAGGTACATGATGAATACATCGTTAACCGCGATGTTAATTTCTTATAATGGCTGTATAATTAGGGTAGGGTTAGGTTAAGGACAAGAGGGGCTTGGTCGCACATGTGCTGTTTTGGGGAAGAGCAGATGTGTCTCTGGGTCAGGATTGGTTTTTGAGCTCTAAGGGCTTATCAGGGCTCATGGTGACGACATCTGTTCTCTTGTGAGTTTCTCTTTTTCCTGTTCATATCTGTCTATCTGCCTACTTTAACAGAAGTACTTATTGATTCCTATTTTTTTGGGGGGGGGGAGGGAGCTTTTTAAAAATCTAAGAATGATTATTGAATTCGGTCAAATGTCTTTCAGCATTCATGGTGACGATCACATACCAGACCTTCTTTAAGCTAATTAATGGCTTGAGGTTCCTAGACCAAACAACTTGTATGAATGTAGATCTCAAATCTATGTAAGGGCCAGTACTTCCAGCTCACTTTTACATTGAAGGTTTTGCATTTGGGTCCCGGGTTAATGTGGGCTCTTGTTTTAGATCTTAGGCCGGCCCATGGTTTGATTTCAACTCTCTTCTATGAGGTCCAAAAAACCAGAGTCAAATCTTTTCAGATCAGAAGTCGTTTCTGGTTACCACTCTGTGTCCAAACTTTATCCTCAGGTTTTGCCTTGCAATTCCTTGCTAGATGTTTTAGGGTGGTTAAAAGAAATGTATCTATTATTTTCAGTTTTGGTGTAGGGGTTTGTCTGAGTGACCTAGCTGCCATTATTGGAAATGAAAGTTGTTCCCAGATCCATTCTCCATACTGGTCAGAATTACCTTATTCAAATCAAAATCTGCTTATGTAATTTTTTTGCTTAAAACAAATCTTTGGTTTCTCGTTCTCTTTAGGAAATAAGATCCATATACTTTGCCAGTGCCATTCACAGTCTGTCCCACATCTACTTCTCTGAATCCATTTTGAACTTCTGTCCCTCATGTGCTATTAGCATCATCTATTCTACATTTCATGTTCAGGTCTATGTCATCTCTGACCCTTCACATGTGCCATTCCTGTGTTTGGAACATATCAGTTTTGCCTTGTCTCGACATGGCTAACTTGGAGTCACCTGGCTCTTACATGAAACTAATTCCTCCTGCTCTCCCATACTACCCTGTACTTCCCTGTCATAGCATTTATCTTACTTTACTGAAATTACAAATATGCTTTACCCTTGAATGGAGTGTTTTGTGAAGATCATGTTTACTGCTTTGTGTCTGATACATAGTAGAGATTCAGTAAACGCTTGTGGAATGCATGAATGAATGGATGTTAAGGACACTGTTATCCAAAGTAATGTCTTAATTCAGCCATTTCTTACCTTCTTCACCATTTTTACCTTAGTCCGAGTTATCATCTTCACTCTCTTAGATTCCTCCTATGGCTTCCAAATTCATCTCCTTGCTTCCACTTTGGCTCCTCTATAGTCCAAATAGCCACCAGAATGATTCTATGTCAATGTATGCTCCTGAACCCACTGTTGTTTCTCTTTGCATTCTGAATAAAATCTACACTCTTTACTATGGCCTTTTAGACCCTACATGATATGCCCCTGATTGTCTCCCTTCAATATCTCCTATCACTCATCCCTCAATGGGCACTACTACCGTGACCTTTTTATTCTTCCAAAACACCAGGTAAAGTACCCTTCCAGGGCTTTTGTTCTGGTTTAGCTCACTTGGAAGACTGTTGCCATTGAGGAACTGGCTTGCTTCCTCATTTTATTCAAGCTTCTAGTCTTCCTTTTGTCACTTTCTTCCATGCTTTATTTTTCTCAGAACATTTATCTCTTGGTATCAAGCGACCCTTTGTACATTTGTGTATTAGTTTTTTGTCTCATTATAATGTCATTGCCATGAGGTCAAGGACTTTGCTTTGTTCACTGCTGTAGCATTTGAACACTGCCTAACACCTAGTAAGCAATTCATAAATGTTGATCGAATAAGTGAATGTATGCTTTCAGTCACCTTGAACTGGAATCCTCAGTTGTATGACTCTACTCCTATCCTTTCTTGACTATGTAACCAGTGATAATTCTTCTCATCTTTTAATTTCTAGTTCAAACATACTCCCTTTATTGTGTCCATCTGCAATTTTCAAGTGAAATATAATCTCTGCTTTACCTTATCTTTCACATGTAATTTAAATTGGATAATTAAAAGTTCTTTAATATGTTTTGGAAGTAAAAATTTTTATCCAAATTTTGCTGATTCTAATTTATGTTTATAGATTTTATAAATAACAGTGTAAATGCTAGTTTTATTTATCTTGCATTTGGTCAAACTGTAGAAAAAATTGTGACTTTTTTCATAAACATCTATTGTAAAGTTTCAGAGAAAATAGAATTATGTTTCAGTGTGTTTAAATATATATTGTATTGGAATTGGTTCAACATAAATCACTAACTCTTTTAAAAATTTTTAAGTGAAATATTTTCTAAAATAACCATAACTCTCATTTAGAAGTTCATGTTTCAAAGTTATGTGCTTGTTACTGTGGAGTTATACATAAATACTCCCCAAAGCACTCCACGGCAATGAGTTAATACTACTCTTTAGAAGCATTGGGGTTTTATTTAGGATATTATTGATTTGGTACCATAGCTCATTTAGGAATTGACAATTAACTGAAACAGTGTTTGGCTCATTAAATTTGTTTTTGTTTCTCTTTTCTATTTACATACCTGTGTTGCTTTCCTAATAGTTTCAGCACTCTCTTACATAGGTTGTCATTAGTTCTTCAATATAGCCACCAAGTTAGTGAAATTACTATTAACTTTATTTTACAGAATAGAAAGCAAAGCCCAAGAAGGTAAGGAATTCTCTGGGTTTACATGCTTTGTGAAGGAGTGAGCCATGACTCTTAGTTTATTATTTTATTCTTCTCCTAGATACAATTTTTTTTCTGATTTCTTACTCCAGTGTATGTTTTTTGTTATTTAGTTAATCATATAAACTGATTTATAATTATACAAATTTATAATTTATATGAACTATATATATATATTAAAGGATTTTTTTTATGCATAATGTTGATTTGATTTTTTAGATTTTAACATTTGCCTGTGATGCCTGCAAAAAAGTGACATTGCGTATTCCCTCAAAACTAGATGCTAAGACATTTGTTGGTAGAGGTAAGAAAGTGATAAAATACGTTAAATCTTAATTTGGTAGGATTTTGTAAAACTAGTGTAACTTTTAGAAGGATAGCTGTATTGACTCTAAGAGTTTAAACTAATATAGTACATTATCATTTGTAAGCGTATGATATCATGCCAATGGAAAAAATTATTTTTTTGTTGGAAAACATGATTATATGAAGTAGATAAAAAGGTTTAGGATGAGTAATAAAAATTATTAATATTTAAGTTAGTTAAAGGATATGGTATATGTTATAACATGCTTCTATAAAATTGAGAAATAGTGTTGAAAGTATTTCTTGAATTTAATGGTATCGTTTTTGGATTTTTATCCTAAAACATTTTAGCATCTTATTGACATTGATTACCACGTATTGTTTTTTTCAGGGATTAATTTTTTACATGATTCAACTGTATAAGAAAAGATTAGACTAATGAGAACACAGAATTACTACTATTTAATAATAGTTGTAAGAATTCGGTAATATTTTAATTGAATAACTGCCAATTTTAATCTTCTAAATTCTGTTTAACATACTTCAAATGTATTTATGTGTTACTCGATAGCTAATTTCAGTTAAAAAAGAACAATTTTTTCTTGTTGGTTTAAATATTCAAACGGTGGGGTTTACATGCCTTTATTTCAAGACAAATGTGTTCTTTAAATGATTGTAAAGTAGGTATTAGAAGTGATATATATCTTTAGCAGAACTTAATTAACCATAGAATTTCATATATTCTTTTAAAAATGAAAAAATTGTGTCAATATAGTTAATTTAAAGTTTTGGGCTTCCCCTCAAATGCATAGATTACTGTTAAAACTATATATCGCATGTTTTACTTTACAAATAATTGCTGTGTATAATTTTTACAGTTAACCTGAAGGAGTGCTTTAAATCTGCAAATCTAATTCATTCAAGTGATCCCAATTTCCAAATTTTAGAAGATGGTTCAGTCTATACAACAAATGCTATTTTGTCCTCAGAGAAGAGAAATTTTACCATAACACTTTCCGACACTGAGAACCTGGAAGAGAAGAAAATACTTGTCCTTTTAGAGCATCAAATAAAGGTATACCAAATTATAAAATGAAATATAATGAAGTATTGTCTTCAGGTATCATTAACATTGCTAGGAAAGATGTGGAATCAGAAAGGATATAAGATAATTTAGTTTGAAAGAGAATGAAAACTATGGCACAATTTCACAGTATTCAGATGGAAAATGATTGCACAATATAGATTAATTAAGGATTGTAACTCCTTTTCATCTGGGACATAAAAGGAGAAATTGGGATATGCTACAGCATGAGAGCTTGAGATTAGACAGAGGAGCATCTCTTGATCTTTACTGTAGAACAAATTTTAAAAAACAAGTTTTGAAACTCTATCTCTGGAGGCCTCATGCTTAGACAGCATAACTTGTAGTCGTGGAAAGTAGATGACTGTTTTAGGTTGAGGTTTGGACCTCACACATGCTTATTATGTTGTGACACTCAAAATCAAAATGACTTCTATTCAATCATTGGCCGTTATTCTGCAGCAGATTGAGAGCGGTCAACATGTTTCTCTCCTCGTCTGACACAGATCTCTCTGTTGGTTCCCTGGCTCTTCCAAGTTAGTGGAGAGTGGAAGATGCTTATACTAAACTTAGAATGGCATATACTTTACTTATTTTCTTGGCATATCTCTCCTTCCATGTTTTTGCATGGCGATATGGCAAAAGTAAGTTTTTTTTTCAGTTTTGCTTCTAAGCTTCCAATTTCATCTCTCTTCCACTTTGCAGTGTTGACGTCTAGTATGGTTTTTAATCACTACCATGGTCTTACACCTGGCCAGCTAATTCTCATGAGAGGAGAAAGATGTATCATAGTCCTGATGTTTGAGAATAAAGTAGTTCTTGACTTTATTCTTTTTTTCTGTCTTCTAAATTGAGGTACCAAAGCAAAATCATTCTAAAGAAAAAGTTCTAAGACGTGCCAAGAGAAGATGGGCTCCGATTCCTTGTTCAATGATGGAGAATTCCTTGGGTCCTTTTCCACTTTTTCTTCAACAGGTACAATTTATTTCCTTCCGTGGTCAAAGTCTATAGTTCCCTTTAAAAAAAAAAAATTTAGACAATGAGTAGGCAGTTATTTAAAAAATAGTGGCGTATGAATATACGAATGAATGAAGATGTGCACATATGTTTCAATATATGGGTATAAATATATCTCTCTATATCTGCATATACTTATTTGCAGTTTTAATCATACAAAGGTCATTTATAAAACTGTGAAACCCATATAGCACTCTGAAACACATGGTTCCTTAATGAAGTTTTGTATCAACAAGGATATCACAGCCTGGGTGTAGTCTAAAAGCCCCCAAAACATCTTCCATAATATAGGATGAAATTGCTTATGAAAGGGAAACAAATGCCATGAAGGGGAAAGACATATACGCCTTTTTATTACTATCCCGAAGTCCACTGCTTAAATCATACTGGATCCACATTTTCTCTCTCTTTTTATTTTAATGGAAACTCTAGCAAATCTTGCCTTCTTCCATTATCAATGGTCACTTCCATTCAATTTATGAGTTGAGTTTCTTTTCCCTCAGTTCTTGAAATGGTGAGAGAGAATTCTCCTTTATATCTTGCCAAAAAATTTAATGCAACTGAGAGAATAGCACATTAAAGTTGAGAAAGATATTGTTGGTAAATAATTGTATTAATCATCCTGATACATAGTCAAGATCTTACTAAGAGGTTGAAAGCAACTTGGAAAATTTGCTTTTTGAATCAAGTACCAGAATATCATACTTGCGAGGATATTATGCCATTTCTATTCTCATTCATTTCCCCCACTTTACTCAGGTCCTATAATAAAGAAGATGCTGACAAATAACAAAAACTAATTAAGGAAAGCATTGTCCAAGTTTTTGCCCTGCAGACAGAATATTTTAAATGCAATATATCAAATATTATGTAAAATAAAAATTCAGGTTTTTTTTTTTTTAAAAAAAAAAAAGGATAATTTTTCATGCTTAGAATATTTTGTTTTCCAAGATAGGAAAAGTCTTAATTGTTTAGTCCATGTAGGTTCATTTAGCCTTTAAAATATCTTTTAGTTATTCTGGAAAACTAAGATGCTATTACATTATTTTCCTCATGCCAATTGTTCTTGAAATTTTTCAATTATTAGGCTTCCTTATTCTCATTTTTTATTCATATATAATAACTGGCAGGTAGTTATTTCAATGAAATGGCAATGTGATTACATAACCATATAGATGAAAGTTTTGCTGAAATAAAAATATGTCTCATGTGTACAATATCTACTTTCTAGGTTCAATCTGATACAGCACAAAATTATACTATATACTATTCTATAAGAGGGCCTGGAGTTGACCGAGAACCCATGAATTTATTTTATGTAGAGAGAGATACTGGAAACCTGTACTGTACTCGAGCTGTAGATCGTGAGCAGTATGACTCTTTTGAGGTAAAGTCTAAAGTTTACCTATTATATTAGTAATTATTAAGCTTGGCTATTTTGTTTCTCGTTCTCAGTTCATTTACCCTTTTCTGTTTTTTGAGTTTGTCATCTATGCTCTGTCTATATCTGATAGCTTAGACTTGGCTTAAAGCAAAAATAATTTTATAGAATAAATAGCTTTAGATTCTATTAGAAAGTTCTTGGTATTATAGTTTTAATTTTTTTAAAAAAGGAAAAAATAGTATCACTTTAAAAAAGAGTTATTTAATTGGCAGAAAAGATAAAAATCTGTGAACCTCTTTACATACAGATAGAGACACCATAGGAGCTAAGTGAAGGTTAGAAATTAGGCCTCAGTTGCTTTGCAGTGAGAGAAAGTTAACTTGTGGTGAGCAATTAAGGAGTATGGACAGCACTTAACTAAAATTATTCAGTCTTTTTGTCATCTGGGTAACATCCCATGGTGGAATGAGAGAACAATGTAAGAATTTAACCTAATCTTGTATTGATTTCTCAACAGAACCTAGCGATTTAGCTCAACTCAATTTTAATTTATTTACATCTATTTTGAATTAATTAATTATTCATCGGTAGACTGAATGAACCGAATAGATAGGCAAATATTGAATTAAATATTTAGGATTAAAATTGCTACAACATGGCCCTCTAAATATCTGTATTGTTCTTCTGTTTCAATGATAGTCATTATGAGAAAAACTAAAATTGAAATTCGTACTATAAAATCATAAATAAATTATATTCCCCACATTATTTACAGCCATTCATTTGTTCTATTTCTGATTCTCCTTTTTTAAGTTAAAAAATTTCTATAAAGACGGTTATCTAAATAGAACCATCGATATGCCTGAGATCTTAATTAGTAGAAAATAAGACAATATCTCAGTTAACTGCACATGAGAAATTTGGAATCCTAAAAATCCAAAGGGAAAAAAGGGCCAGAAAGCTGTATTTAAAATTCGTGCACCTGAAACTTGCAAACCAAAACAAAATAATCCTGAACGCTGTTTGGGGGAAATAATAGTAAAAACCATTACACTCATGTATAACAATACAGCAATAGTGAGGAAACCAAGATTATTTACGTCATTATATTAGACATATTTAAACATAAAATGCTATACTACACCATGAAATTAATCACTTCATGGCATTAATGTTATGTCCACATCCAAATACAAAAACGAATGGTGAAACTCATACTGCAACGCTGAACAGTCTACAAGTTAAAGCCAACGCTAGTTTGAACCATATTTTGATAGATTGTTTTGCCTTTTTAAAAAAATTTTACTCTCTTCATAGATAATTGCCTTTGCAACAACTCCAGATGGATATACTCCAGAACTACCACTGCCCCTATTAATCAAAATTGAGGATGAAAATGATAACTACCCAATTTTTACAGAAGAAACTTATATTTTTACAGTTGGCGAAAATTGCAGAGTTGGTGAGTACTCACTTTAACCATGTTGGTAACCTGACGTTTCAATTCAAAAACTGAGTTTCACTGTGCTTTTGGGAGGCAGCATATCCTGCTGGCAAGGAAGGATAAGGGGACTTATTGGCCTGCTCTGGGTGGAGTTTACTCCACCTTTCACTAGCTAGCTATGAACTGTGATCCTGGGCAATTTCCTTAACCTCAACAAACCTTAGTTTCCCTATCTGTAACACGGGATATTACTATTGAAGATCATTATGAAGATTAAATGAAGCATAATACACATGGAATGCCAAGCACAGTGCCTGAGAAATATTATTCAACAAATGTTACTTTGTCTTCCTGTGCGAGATAAAATAAGTACTTTTAAGAGGACGCACTCTAAAAAGAATAAGCTTTTGAGCAACTGAGGTCTTAACTTTGAAGAAATTTACTGATGTTCCATAATGATTAAATGATCGATAATAGTCTGGGCATGATCATAAAGGTTATTGAGACTAATACAAATGTTTTCTCAATCCTGTGAAAATGGACCAGTTTAGCTGGAAAGCAGAATGCAGTTTTTGAGTCTTCCTCTAGAAAGATCTAACTAAACCAAGAAATGTCAGAGGAAACTGACCCATTAAGTACAAGCTTACCAATAGAAAAAGGTTAAAGAATAATTAGAATTCTTTAGTATAGAAATAAAAAGGTCATGGAGAGATTTTATTAACATTTATAAAATTATACATTAAACACAGGGATATAGTCAGCAAATTCCAAAATGTTAGGCTGCTGGGATATTTAAAAGGAAATGATACTTTATATGAAATTCGCCAACTTATAAAACTTATTACTCTGATATATAATGAAGTGGTTCAGAACATTTTCAAATAGATGGAGAGGAATGAAATAAGGGGAAAATTGAAAATGTAAAAGTTTTGGAAATTAAAGATGATTTTTCAATATATAGGTTCTACCGTGGGACAGGTATGTGCAACTGACAAAGATGAACCTGACACGTTGCACACGCGCCTAAAGTACTCCATCCTTGAGCAGTTGCCAGCATCGCCCACCCTGTTTTCTATGCATCCAACTACAGGCGTGATCACCACAACATCATCTCAGCTAGACAGAGAGGTAATATAAATATTAGCAAATAAAACTTGGTTGTCACGTGGTTATTTAATAGTAACTGTATATCTCTTTACATCACCTATAAATGTGTTTTTGAAAAGCATGTTGTGAATCTAATTTTAGAAAAATTATCATGTTAAGTATGTTAAGGGAGGTCATTAACCACGCTGTGTGCTAATTTCGAAACTAATGTGTTCTCTGCTGAATTGTGTTTTATAGACTCAGTTTTCCTAATATAAACATATGTATAGTATTAAAAACAAATATCAAATATGAAAAGTAGAAAGTGAAACTTTTGGACTGTGCAGAAATTTGTTATCTACAGATAACAATACTTTTTCTGTCTGTGTCATCTCTTCCTTGACAAGTTCATCTACATTCTTCCCCTTGTATAAATGAAAAGAAAGTCTATATCTCTCTATCTCTGGCTTACCATTTTCAATTGACTGCGAGAAATCTTTATTTGGATGTTTTTCAGGTACCTAAAATGAAGTACATCTGAAGTACCTAAAATGCAGTACATCTGAAGTCAAACTCTTCTTCTTTCCTTCTAAACATGCTGTATTTCTCATATTTTCTAGTAAAAAAGGCATTAAATGCCCTTTTCCTATTAATAATTTTTCTATTTCCTTTAATTCATGTTCTCCAAATTGTATTTGATGTCTCCTTTTGTCCCTTAGATCAAATCACTTTACAAAGCATGTCAATGTTACCTTCAAAATTATTTTGCTTTTCTATTACGTCCACTTCTACTGATACCATCCTAGTTTAATAATTTATTTGCTTGGTTATTCAACTCTTACATCTTCACCAAGCATTTGTTCATCTGAATTCTTATAAAAGTTTATCTGACGTACTTACTACATTTATAATGCTTAGTCTTAAAATATAGTAATATATGTTTATTGGGTATTTCTTTAATTCCTAAAATTTCATATCAGATTCATTTCCTCTTCCTCTCTCCCTCAAAGAATAGAGCAGTGGTCTTTAAATGTTCTGATCTTAATATCCCTTTACAGTCTTAAATATTATTGAGGATTTAAGATGGATTTTCATGTCTCCTTCTGCATTCAGTCTAATATGTAGTTTTAGCTAACATATGTTAAGAAAATCTAACATGATATGAAGTTAGAAAAGAAAGGAGTATTTTAATAGTAATTTCAGGTCGTTGTAGATATTAATCTTTGATACTGCACCAAAAATTGACAAGTGGTAGTTTCTTAACTGTTTTTTGCAATGTACACTCTGAAGCTTTATCAGCGAATTTTTGTACTTTATTACATTAAAACCTATTGGTTTATCTTGTACTATGTGAAAATAGTTTACTCATGTATGATTTGTAACAGATTGGTCATTTGGAAAATATTAATTAATTCACTAAGTCATGCAGATCTACCAAATATTAACACATGTCAATAAACAATATTGAAAAAAAATCACCTATTTACCTCCATTAATGGATGAAAAAGTTTTCCAGAATTCTCTTTTTTGCTTAAACATTCCAATTTATTATTGATGACAAATATTTTATTATTTTTTTTATTTTGTGAAGTGACATATTCACTTTGCTTGACAAAATGTCTTCCAAATATACCAATTTGAATAAACATAAATGTCTTTTATGTAAAAATTATATTCTGTAAAAAAACAACAAGTAACAATCACACAAGTACTTTTCTGTGAGAGGAACACCATGCCATGTTACACTGCAGAAATGCTGTATGCATACCTCCATTTTTTCACATGGACTGTGGGTTGAAATTTAATAAAATTAATCATTTTTTGCTGCATCTACAAGGAAATTTCTAAGTGAAACTGGCACTTATTTATTTTATTATTTATAAATTCATTTATTTTTATTGTATATGCCAGTAAAGAATACAACATCATTTGCTGGATAGATGAATGAACGAATGAATGAATGAATGTTACAGCACTACATATTATACAGATTTTTAATGGAATTTATGTGCTCAAGAAAAAGCAGATTATAAACCAATCTATTTTTTTATCATCAAGTCTTGAATAGGCCCTTCTGATAGGATCAGCTGAAAACTAATGAAGGAGTCTTGGAGTGCTTTTACCCAAGCATGCTCTGGAATCACTTTTTGACCTCAGGATTCCAGTGTTCATCTGTTACTTTAAGACCTTTAAACATCAGAATTTTTATTCTATCTGAAGATATCACAAGTTAATAATTAGGCCCATAAAACTTTTCTTTGTTTTATCAACCAATTGATTGTTTCCAGTAAAATACGTACAAACAAAATATGTATTCTCTCCTGAAAGTATACAAGCATGAAGTTTTAGAACTTTTAAATGCAATAAAGCCATTATTTTTCTAGTCGACATATGTGATTAGTTATGAGATAAGAGTAGATCAGGAAAATTTTGTGTATGAAAAGCATAGCGATCAAGAGAAATTTTAGTTTATTTTAGGTAATTCATAAGGAGGAGAAAACTTGAGAGGTGACAGAATTAAGGAAAGAAGGTAGCTATGTAAGAGAAGGGTGAATATTTTAGGTGGAAAGTTAAGATAGTTTTGCACATTATTTTGTCTTATGATAAGAATGGAATTATGTTGGAAAGGTGTTATTATTATCGTTTTTTAGAAGAGGAAACCTTGGTAAAGAGAATTTTTCAACTCCCTCAGATTACATTTGTTACTTTGGGAGTTGTGAATAGAACCCAAATTTTCTAATGTTCAGTCTATGGGTGTTATTATTAGTTTTATTTATAATCCTTCCGTATCTCAATTACTTATGATAAATAAAGCCATTATGAGGAGAAACACATTTTTTAACTAGCGATAAGCCTCCTACGATCTCTGATGAATGGAAAGTCCTGAGAGCCAAATTTTATTTTCCATGGAGAGAAAAAATTACAAATCCCAGACCCTTGTTTTCATGCTCATTTAAAGATCTTTTTATTAATGTAAATATTTAAAATCTGTCTCTTTTAAGGAGGATATTTAACTTTATTGTTTTCTTACAAGACTGTTATAAGAGTCATTGCTATGTAATTTTGAACATAAGATTTTGATTCATTATTAGGCAATTCCAAATGTACTATTTGAGAAATAACTACTACTCTATTTTCATAAATTAATTAAAAATTGCTAGTGTGATGAAATATTCTTTTACCAGTACATGAAAGCTATGAAATTTATACCTCTTAAATTTTTAATGCAAGGAAACTATAGAGTATAAATTCAAATTTCATTTACAATGTTGTTTTCACTCAATAATTAAATTCTTAATTTCTTTTCAGTTAATTGACAAATACAGGTTGAAAATAAAAGTACAAGACATGAATGGTCAATATTTTGGTTTGCAGACGACTGCATCTTGTATCATTCATATTGAAGATGTGAATGACCACTTGCCAACATTTACCCGTACTTCTGTAAGTACATGATACCAGTAAAAGAAAAATATACAGCCCAGTATTATTGCTAAATGTGCACATCTCCATTGTGCCACATGATTTCAAACGAAATATCCTTTGACAGCAATTTGGACTTATGGTTTAAAATTATGTAAAAGTAGTACTTTGAAAGTTAGAAGAAGAGGGCGCCCTTCGTATGGTGTTTTATTTTTGTGAAAATTACTAATTGAACTTTTATTTATTTATTTTTTTTAGTATGTGACATCAGTGGAAGAAAATAAAGTTGATGTGGAAATTTTACGTGTTAGTGTTGAGGATAAGGATTTAATTAATACTGCTAATTGGAGAGCTAATTATACCATTTTAAAGGGCAATGAAAATGGAAATTTTAAAATTGTAACAGATCCCAGAACAAATGAAGGAGTTCTGTGTGTCATTAAGGTAAGAATAAATTAGTAAATTTGTTATTTGTAGTTTATCATATTGCAGATTAATATACTAGAGTTAATGAAAAGAAAGGCATTCTGGTAAATGTAGGAATAAAATAGATATATAGATAAATGTAAATGCTATGTTCTTAATATATAATGGGATGGATATATTTATTTTGAGAACCTTTTCTTTAAATCGAGGCATAATTGACATAACACTATATTAGTTTCAGGTGAATGACGTAATTTGATCCTTGTGTATGTTGCAAAATGATCACAATTAAGTCCAGTTAATATCCATCACCATACATAGTTACAAATTTTTTTTCTTGTAAAGAGAACTTTTAAGATCCACTCTTCTAGCTACTTACAAATATGTAATATAGTATTATTAGCTATAATCATGATGCTGTACATCACATTCCTGTGACTTATTTATTTTATAACTAGAAATTTGTACCTCTTGACCAATTGATTCAACAGTCTACAAGTAACATTTTAAATTTCAGAAACTATAGTATCTTCAAAAATTGAAAATTACTAGTGTGAGGAACCTTATATAAAGTCATTATTTAAAAATTATATATATGTGTGTTCAAATGACATATAGTATTTACTTAGTAACCAATATCTCTTAATTCAAACACTAGTACAGCTGTGATTCCAGTGGGACAGTGGCAAACTTTCCTAGCTCATTCTTTCTACAGCTGGGTCAGGGAGCCTCCACTTATTTACTGAATTTCTCGAATGATGGGTTACTCCTGGTCAGACCTATAGGAAAGCTGTTTGTAGTTCTGTTCATCTGTATCCAGTGTCCATTACATCCTTAGTTTCCTGGTTCAGAATGGGAATTCTCAGACATTCAAGGACATAAATACTTCTAAAACCTCTTTTTAATACTATTCTACAGCATCTCAGAAGAACTTGCTGCTAATTCAGGAGCCAGAGTGAGCCCACCAAGTGGTCTGAGCTCCTTTTGGCTGTGGCTTATATCTACTGCATCTTTTACTAGAATATGATCCAATCCTGGGTCTATGCAGTGTCCTTTTTGTACATATTCATAAGGTGCATGGATCAAAAACGATTAATCTATTTTTGCTACAATCATAAAATTTAGCTGCAGTCTATGGGTTAATTTCTCTGTTGCAAAACAGCAAAGAACGGTCCATTAAATTTTGGCTCTTTCTTCACCCAAACTCTGCCCTAATCCTTGATATTCTAAGAAGGAAATTCATTTCTGTGAAGTGCAAGACCTAACACAGTTTCTGTCTTATAAGGAAATGGCTTCGCCCATTCTCATTACAACTACATATCAGATAAAATTAAAACCTTCTATTAAACTTGGTACTACCAGATTTTTTTTGGAAAGTAACTACAATAGAAGAGATTAAAAAATATATATATAATGTTTGTAAGCTTCTTATTTTCTTTTTTCTTAAAGATTTGACCATATTTTCTACCCTAAGCCAGATAGAAAAAATTTATTCATTTCAGGAGGGTAGGATAAGCTGTCCCAAATTTAACAGAGCAGTAAATAAGTGTTGGTTAAGGTATGGACCCCCTAAAGGGTTAACCATGAAATACTCATTAAATACTTTCTGAAATCGTTATCAGGACCTATGATATTACTTGTGTTAACTTTGCAGCTGAGGAACAGTTTTTTGTTTGTAGTGAGTTTTGTTGTTGTTGTTGTTGTTGTTTTTTAAATTAATTAATTTATTTTTTGCGGGCTTCACCAAATACTGTATCAGTTGAAGGATTGCCCTTCTCCCACCACCACCTCATTTCTTAGGTGTATGTTTAATATTCTCATGACTATTCCCAACATAGCACTTACATATTTCCAAATTTAACAAATTATACACAGTACTAGTTAGCATTGCCAAATATTAAATGTCTTGAACTGATTTTCCACACACTTGCTTTTGTAGCCACTGAATTATGAAGAAAGACAACAGGTGACCCTGCAAATTGGTGTAGTTAATGAAGCTCCATATTCTAAAGAGGCTGGTTCGAGATCAACTATGAGCATGGCAACAGTTACTGTTAATGTAAAAGATCAGGACGAGGGCCCAGAGTGTAACCCTCCAGTACAAACTGTTCAAATTAAAGAAAATGTGCCAGCGAATACAAGGAGCAATGGATATAAAGCATATGACCCAGAAACAAGAAGTAGCAGTGGCATAAGGTGTTTATAATTCAATTTAATTAACTCCAAATTTACCATGTTTTTAAAATTTATAATTTATTTTGATACCAGTATTGTAATTTTGCTTAAGATACATTTTGTTATTTTTATTCATCATTAATAATAGGTATAAGAAAGTAAATGATCCAAAAGGTTGGATCACTGTTGATGAAAACACAGGATCTATCACAACTTTCAGAAGCTTAGATAGAGAAGCAGAGACCATCACAAATGGTACATATGATGTTATAATCCTTGCATCAGACAAAGGTAAGAACTTTAAGTCAGCTCTGTACAGTCTCAAAATGTATTTTTCCCCAGATGATATATAGAGTAATTGAGAGGTTTGCTAGAATTTATTAACTCATATCTGCTTTCTAATAATACCCTCAGTTTTAGATGTAGTTATAAAATAACTTATTCAGGGAAATACTTAAAATGTTAATAATCTATGAAATTTAAATAATTGTTAAAAATTGAGAAAATCACTTCGGTTGTATTAGCTTCAATTTACCTAGTCATATCTCTTAAAATATTTACTTTGGCAGAAAAATTTGTTACAGAGAGAGCATACTTATTGCCTTATGGTGCACTTAGAAAATAGTTCTATCTTCTTACAGTAAACTAACAATATACTTATATAAAAAGAAATTATATAAAAAGAAATCATAGTCATGATTAATAGTATATTATAAAATTAGAAAGACAAACAATATAAATCCATATAAGCATATAAAATTTAAAATCATGTTCTATGAGTTCTACAAAACTGAAAGAAGTGTGAACACAATGGTAATGGATGAGATCCATTTAGTGCATAAAGTATAGTTTTACTATAACATACATTTGAATTTTGTGCTTCTTTAAAATAAATATGTTGACTAAAATAAACATAAATTATTATACTGTAGCCTGCAAAATTAGAATTTAGGAGATGTTTTAAATATTCCAGTTCTCTCTAAATTAATGAATGTATTTTTGTTTATTTAGCACATAGAATATATTTTAAAACTGAAGATCCCGGTTTTTCTTTAATTTTCTTTAATTTTCTCAGCAATTATCTCTTTAAATATTTCTCCCCTACCATTCTACTCATTCTCTTCCTCTATATGTTCGAAGATGCTAAATATACATGTTTCAAAAATGTCTCGCATGAAGTAAATTAATCTTCTATTGGTGATTTCGTTGACTTTCCTTCTTAGTATTAATCTTGTTCCTTTTGGAATTTTAATTTTCAGGTGTACATTATTTTTGTTGGGTTGTTTTTGTTTTTGTTTTTGTTTTGTTTTTAGGCAAGGCAACCCTTGGTTGACCTCATAGATTGCAAGGACCTTGTCAACTTACTATCCCTTATTTTTTATTTTTTACACCTACAGCATCTGGTCTTCCTAGTGGTCTCCCATCCAAGTACTAACCAGGCCCGACCCTGCTTAGCCTCTGAGATCAGACGGGATCGGGCTTGTTCAGGCTGGCATGGCCGTAGACTGTATCAGGTGTACATTAAATGGCAGATGTTTGGTTTGCTTTCAGTTTTTGGTTTTTCCTTTCTCCCACTTTACCCCATCATAACTAGCAGTCTTGTGTTTGCCTTCACCTCGTCCTTTTCTGTGGCCCACCTTTCAGAACCAGTTCTTAACTTGGTGGGCTATGGCTCCTGATCTGTGATGATGCTGGAACTATCAGAGTTTCTGTCAACTGGATTAAAATTATGACTACAGGGCTGTGCCTGGTCTTCCAGTTTCCCTAGACCAACCAGCAGCTTTATATAAGACATAGCCCCAAGCAGTGAGTGGCACAGGTTTTTTTTCATCCTTTAACCCCACTCCTGATATCTAAGGCCCCTTTATTAAGCAGAAAGAATGAATGATTTAGAGATAGAATCCTGTGTTTGTGTTCAGCTTTGGACATCATAACTATTACTAATTTGTGGCCTGGAACCAAGACCACTTCATCTTTGAATCCCTCAGATTTTACAGTGCCCTGTACAAATAGTTATTTAGGAAGTTTTCATTGAAGACACAGAAAAAAAAATTCTTTAGGCTATACCCAAGAATGATTACTTTGGTTTGCAAATGATATTCCGCTTCTGGAGTCTTTCACCCTTTAAACATATACATGTACTATTTTTGTTCTAATCTTCCAAATACATACCTTCTACATTTAAATTTCCCTGCTCCCAAACCGTCAGTGTTTTCTATATGGATATGAAACTCCAAGCTCCCTAGTTTGGTTTCCAAGGTCCCTTGGCTCTTCTCTCTGGTGTCAACTCCCACCAATCTGCCTTCCTGTTTATTATGTCTAGAACATAGATGTGCATACTGTGCTTTTCTACCTCAAATTTCCTTGTGCTTTTAAATGTACCAGAAATATCTGTTCATACTCTCTTCCTTTCTCCTTTTAAAAATCAGTCAGAACTCACCTCCATAAAATTTTCCATGTCTACTGCAACTATTTAGCGATTGAATGACAAATCTAAATAGCAATTACTGTATGGACAACTCATTTGAAAGTGATAATATTTTACTTTTAATGTTCCCTAAGGACATAGCTTGTGACTGTGCTTGTCACTGTCATTTATATGTTCCAAGTGCCTAATATTAAAAAATTATTTCAATGTATAATTTCCTAGGAGAAACTCAAAACATTAAAAGATTGTATTTTTATATCTGATTTTCTAGATGGAAGATCATGTACTGGAACGCTGAGAATTAAACTTGAAGACGTGAATGATAATGGCCCATTAATACCTAAACGGACAGTGATAATCTGCAAAACTGTAATGTCCTCTGCAGAGATTGTTGCTTTCGATCCTGATGACAGTGTAAATGGCCCACCCTTTGACTTCAGTTTGGAGAGTGATTCTAATTCAGACATACGGAGAATGTGGACACTGAGAAAAATTAACAGTATGTACTTCTAAACATTACTTTGTTCTTTTCAACATAAGGACATCTAAAATACTTTTCTTTTTTAAAAAAATTAAATGTATTGGTGTAACATCGGTCAATAATATATGTTTCAGATGTACAATTCTATAATACATCATCTGTATAATGCATTATGTGCTCACCACCCGATCTAATCTCTTTGGTCTCCATATTTTTAACCTCCTTCACCTTCTTCATCTTCTCCCCATCCTAAAATACTTTTTTTTTTTCTTGATGAAATAGAATCATTCACTGTGTGGGAACCACCATTGAAAAAAAGCAAGTTTCTCAGTTTTAGTGTGGTAGGAAGTGAGTCTCTCTAGTGCCTATGTCTAATCAATCCTGTGCCGGCATTTCCTTAGAAGTTGTGTGAATTCTCATTCTCACTTCACGCATGCATACCCACCCTTAGAATGGGTCTTATATAATCACTTCCTGACTTGTGTATTCTTTCTACATAGATTCTTTCCACAATGGAATCTGCATGTACCATAGGTCTGTTCTTCAGGGAGCAGACGCTGAGACAGAGTTTCTCAGGCAGATTTTTATTAAGGAGTTTGCTTGGAATCGATAGCTGTGACAGGAAGGGAAGCAGGATTGGGCAAGAAGAGAAGGCAAATTGCAACTCAGGCCAGATAACAGTCTCAGCTAACCCCATGGGGAGTCTTTGCTAATCACCCCTTCAAAGTGGCCCAAAGTTGAGCCTCTCTACACCCTCCTTGCTCAGTCAGTGGATTGGGCTACCCTGAGAGCTGTGAACTTTGACAGGAAGGCACAATCTCTGAAGATGCTGGTAGTCTCCCAAACAAGTAGGACAATAAGTCCTTGATTGCAGAGGGATCTGGGTGTGTATCAGTGTCCACCATACTCTCTCTCCTCTTTCTGCTACTTTGACTTCTGACTATTTCTAATTGATTGTTTTCTACTTGGAATTCTCCCCTAATTTGGCTCTTACTCTGTACTTCTGACTTTACCCGGGACAGGATCTATGGTGTCAAGAATGGAAACAGTAAAGGCAATTCTCCATATTGCCATTGCATCACTCTCTACATCAGCTCTTAACTTTTCAGCACGTGCTCTGTCTCCTGACTGTACTATCTGTGGACCAGGATGTCCTGGTTTTCTTGCCCTTCAGCTTTCATGATTCAAGATCCACTGTAAACTGAATTAGGTTTGCCTTTAAAATGACTTGGAACAGTTTCAACTCCATGTTTTCAGTGAATATTTCTTAATTTCCCAATATAGCAAATTAGAAAAGAAAGGTTGTAAAAGAAAGGAAAGGGAGAATAGAATGGGTGAAGAAAAAGAGGACATGAAGAAGCCTTGGTGGCAAGTTAAAGCATTGTGTCTGGAATTTCAAACTATTACTGTGTGATGAATTATGTATAGAAGAAAATATACACAGAATGATTATATTAAAAATTTTAAAGCTGTGATAAAAAAAAAAAATGATCTCTTAACAAGTCTATCCTAATCTCTTAGGCTAGAAAGAATTGATTTATAGATAGATAAATATATTATCACAAAAACCAAAAGATTTTTTCTCGAGGCAGCGTACACAAGTTTTATAGGCAATGTGTTTGCAGTGGCTGGAAATTAGAACTCCTCAGTGCATGCACATTTACAATTTCATAGCATTTTTGTTA